TAGATCAATATCTCTCATTAATATAGATGTGAAGATCTTCAACAACATCTTAGCCCATAGATTCCAGCAATATATCAATCAATAAATAAGTAAATACATCATGACCAAGTAGGATTCATACCAGGAATGCAAGATGTTTCAACATTAGGAAAACAATCAATATAATCCATCACATAAGTAAAAGAAAAGAACCATATGATCATATCAATCAATGCAGAAAAGGCATTCGATAAATCCAACACACATTCCTGATAAAAATTCTCAGAAAAACAGGAATAGAAGGAAAATTCCTCAATATAATATAGGGCATATATGCAAAACCAACAGCCCACATTATTCTCAATGGAGAGAAACTAAAAGCATTCTCTTTACAAACAAGAACCAGACAAGAATGCCCTCTATCACCATGGCTATTCAACATTGTATTGGAAGTCCTAACCAGGTCAACAAGGCAAGAAAGGGAAATAAAGGGATCCAAATCGGGAAGGAAGAAGTAAAACTATCCCTCTTTGGAGATGACTTGATCCTACATATACAAAACCCAAGAGACTCAGCAAGAAAACCTACTGGAATTAATTGAAAGATTCAGCATAGTGGCAGGATACAAAAATCAATTGGTTTCCTCTATGCCAGCAAAGAGATCTCTGAAAAGGAGATAAGGAAATCAATACCATTTGCAATAGCTACCAAAAGGATTAAATACTTGGCAATAAATCCTACCAGGGACACAAAAGACCTATACAAAGAAAACTACAAAATGCTACTTCAAGAAACTATGAGGGATCTACACAAATAGAAGAATATACCATGCTCATATAGATAGGAAGACTGAACATTGTGAAAATGTCAGTACTACCCAAAGCAATATATTCAATGCAATCCCAATCCAGATTCCATCAACAGTCTTTAAGGACATGGAAAGAACAATCAATAATTTTATGTGGAAAGGAAAGAGATCTCAGATAGGAAAAGCACTACTGGAGAAGAATGAGGTAGCAAGTTTCATACTCCTAGATATCAAAACCTTCTATACAGCCACAGTAGTCAAAACAGGCTGGTATTGGTAGAATGACAGACACATAGACCAGTGGAATATAATCCGGAACCCAGAAATAGATCCATCAACCTATGGTCAGCTGATTTTTGACAAAGGGTCAAAACCCACTAAATGTGGAAGAAACAGTCCCTTTAACAAATGCTGCTGGCAAAACTGGATATCCATTTACAGAAAAAACAAGATCCACACCTCACACCATACACAGAAACTCACTCCAGATAAACCAAAGACTTAAATGCTACACCTAAAACTATAAAGTTCATGAAAGGAAAAATAAGAGGAAAACTTAAGGGCCCTGATATATGACATTAATAGACTACCTAACATAAGTAAAAATGCACAAGAAGCAGAAGAGAAACTAGATGACTGGGACCTTCTAAAAATTAAATTCTAGTTCACATCAAAAGGGCAGGAATGTGCAATCAATGTCATGAAACAAAAGGTGTATGAAGTGTTGTATGGAAAATAACTTTGCTCTGTACACTTTCACCAAAATCATAATTAAAAAAATAATGTATATATAATGAACACCATGACTGTGAGTCAGTGGACTCCATTCATCTTTCTCTGCTCTGTACATGCTGATGGTTTCCCTCATCTTGGATGATTGTCTTTGTCCTATCTAAGGCTTAATAAAAGGGTCTTTATAAAACATATTTGAATATTTTTTTCCCCCTAGCACAGTGGAATTACATAATTGGTTGTTGTAAGGTGCTATCAAATTGCTTCCAATTCATAGCAACAGAAAGAAACACAGCCTGGTCCTGCACCATCCCACAATCCTTGCTACACTTGAGCCCATCCATCGTTGCAACCACTGTGTCAGTCCATCTCATTGAAGGTCTTCCCCTTTATCACTAGCCCTTGACTTTACCCAGCTTGATATCCTTCTTCAGGGACTGGTCCCTTCTGACAACATGACCAAAGTAGGTATGGCCATTCTCTCTGCTCTTCTGGCAGACCATGGTATTTTTAGTATTCTTTGCCAACACCACAATTCAAAGGCATCAACTCTTATTTGATTTTCGTTATTCATTGTCCAGCTTTCACATGCATATGAGGTGACTGAAAATACCTTGGCTTGGATTAAAAAACAAAACAAATCTACTGCCATCAAGTCCATTCTGACTCATAGCAACCCTCATAGAGTTTCAAAGGCTGCAAATATTTATGGAAGCAGACTGCCTCATCTTTCTCCAACAGAGCTGCTAGTGGGTTAAAATAGCTGACCTTTTGATTAGCAGCCCAATGCCTTAACCACAGCAATGCCTAGTCACATAGTGACATCTTTCCTTCTTAACACTTTAAAGAGGTCTTTCACAG